TGCCGAATCATTTTTCCAACAAAATATCAATAAACTGAACAAATTTAAACCTTTAGTAACAAATTATAGCCCGCGAAAACAAAAATAATAATGCTAACAGTTAAACATGTTAATCTCAATTTTTTTACATATTTAATTTTTTATTTGCATTTTCTTAGTAATTTTACTGTTGTTGTAAATTGTAATTTTTTATTTAACAAAAACACTACAAGAATTATAATAAAAAAATGTAAATAACAGTAACACCCATAAAAAAAAACGTTTAAAATAAGTTATAAATGTTGGTATGTATATATTTGTACATATATATATATATATATATATATTTATTATAGAATTACAAATAGACAATAAGTCAATGTTTATACATTTAAGTGTACTTGTCATATTGATATAGGGATAATACCAGGATATACCTTAATTTTTAGGTTAGATAAGATAATAGCAATAGTGTATAACCTGCTGTGAAAATTTATTTTATTTTTTGTGTTATTTTTGTTTTTAGTTAAAAGATTATTTCCTTCTACTTTTCCTTACTTATTTTGTATATTATAAGTTCTTAGAAAGTTAATTGAATAGATTAGTATTTTAAAGGTATGAAATAAATAATTTAAAAAAAAAATTATAAATGAATTGCAAGGTTTAAATTAAATTCTGAATTTGTAAAAATCACTTTTTGGGTGTGAAAATATTAAAGAAATCGTAAAATTTTTAAGTATTTTACATTCCAAATTCGATCTGAATCACCGAAATAACAAACATTTTTTATATGAACACCAAAACTTTGTAAATAATGTGTAAGCTCTTAAATGTCAAAGAAGAGTGAAATTTATGTCAAACATGAAATTTTGTTTTTGTGTGTGCAGATAACTATTTGTCAATATACAAGTAATATTGCCTCTATGAAAAGTTATGTGTAGTTAGAAAAGAATTCTCATTAAAGTAAAACGAAATTAAATTTCAAGACCGGAATATCTTATTTCATAAGTGTTGCTGAAACAATCTCAAAACTATCAATTTTAGTAAAAAATAAATTTTTAACACTTAAACAATGTGAATTTTTAAAAATACACTATTATTTTTATGCACATTATTTACAAATTTCGAAAACCTATACTGATTTAAATTGAACAAAACACGAGATGGACAGACGGGCTGCCACAAATGAATTAATCTATGTAAAATTATTACAAATATTTTATAAAAAACAAAGAATTTTTATTCTAAAATTTTCCTACAAAAACATTTAAAATAAACTTTTTACACAAAATATCAAATTTTATGGAATCATACTGTTTAACGTGCATTAGGGATTAAGGTTTGAATTGCTGTCACGTTTTTTCCAAAATTTTTTTTATTTTATTTTTTTTTTTTACTTAATCTTCAATTAGAATTTTACTTAAGAATAATATGAAGAAAAAAAAAATATGAAGACAAAAATTTAGAAATTTTTTGCGTAAATATGAAAAGGGTACAAAATATATAAGTAAGTAAATCTTTATAAAAGTGAAAAATAAGCAAAAATTTTCTTGTTAATCTTTAAAATACTTAAAATTAAACATAGGTATAAAAATAATCTTAAGATTTTATTCATAAAAATTTTTTAAATTGTTTTAGAATTAGCATGTTAACGTAATTTATGCGTACATATAGGTAAAATATGAAACATTTCATCCTACTCATTCTTTAAGTACTTAATATACATATATATATATTGGTTTCTAGACCTTGAAAGAAAATTGCTTATACGAACATGACTCCAATGTGTTTTATTAAAAGTGATGGATTAACGCAAGTACAAATTGGATACATAAAACAATTGATATGTGAAGAGAAAACTTTGTTTTCTATTTTTAGAATTAAAATAATATTAAGGATGATTTAGTAAATACACATTGTAATAATGAAATTATTATAAACATTTGTTTGTTAATAATTATGTGTTACAAAACATGGTGTTTTGGATTAAATACATAATTACATTTTTTTTAAGAATCTATAAATAGATGAAGAGATAATCAGTAAATATGGCAAACGGTAAATTTAACAATAAGGTGCAAAAGGTTAATCCCAAAATTACCTTCATTATCGCAGTTGGACACCTCCTCATAGCCCTTATAATGCAGACGCATGCGAGTCACAGCAATCGTTTCAGGTTTGATCTAGCTATTCCAAGGGACAACCATCTCACCCGTATCAGTGCTTCATAAGCCAAGAACGGTGACATGATCATGATATATATCCACAACATGATAGATGGGGGCCAGCTTCAAAATGGCTCTACAAAGTATACGTACTCGGCTGCTCAGTACACACATATAGCTTCCTCGTAACTTCGCAACAGAAGTTTCCAATCTAATACCACTCCCAAGTATTTGACCTTCGATTTTCTCTTTACAACCTCCTCGCACTCGTATAAATTGTGTGCAGATGCTCCAGCGTCATGCCCTAGGTTTAAGTCTGAGCCAATACCAGTACACTAATTCTATATCTCAACTCTAAATGATACTATTTAAATAAAATTTTGTATTGATGTTTCTTTTGTAGAGACCATCTGATCCCAAAATTCCAATAGCAGCCTTGAGATCTAATAGTTAGCATTGTCGGTATAACCTGTCTTCGAAGATTAAAGCGCACATACATGTCAATAGCAAACACTTCCGTTTGAAGACACTCGGGTATATCCCCATTGATTATAGAAATAGCTGATCGAAGCCACAATACCACCGTAAGAGTTTCCAATAAAACCAATCGAAACATTAGTGTACTGCTTAATGTTGTGTGATCCTATCGAATAGACCAACGAGTTTCTCTCTTTAAATTATTTTATTATATATTTTTTTTAATTTGGTAACCTTTAACCAGAAAATTTTAAGTAGTACAAGAATTTCTTGCGGCTTCTCTTTAATAAAACAAAACATTTATTGAAAATTTCACAATAATTTTGTATCAAAAAAAAAAATGAAGAAATCTAAAATGAAATGTCAAAGATTTTCTTTTATTTTTTTTTTGTATAAATCTTTAATTTTAGCTCAAAACTAACTATTGTAACATATTTTGATGTCTAGATTTCTACACAACAAAATTTAAAACATTTTTATTTTCATTTTTCTAATTTCTTAATATTTTTTTTTTGATATAAGAGATGTAAACATTTATTGAATTAAATATATTATAATGTTCAACTTAACTTGGCATGATGAGTTTTCAAAAGACATTACTCTTCTTTGTTGTCATCTTCAGCATATACATACATACATACATATATACCAGATAGTAGTGATTAAGTTGTATAATTGTTTACGATAGTAAAATTATTATTTTTTTTACATGCATTCGTATATTATGTATAGGTATGTATGTATGTATATGTATGTATATCCAATGCTGTGCATAGATATAATGAATAACTACGAAAAGGTGTGGCTTATTAAAAATATTAAATGTCTTCATAACTACCCAACCAGATTACATATTTACTATAATGTATGCCCATATATTTATATACAGCTCAGCTTAATCATTGTGTAAATTTGAAAATATTCCAATGTGTATCTATGTATGTATGTATATACGTGCTCACGTATTTATAAACTAAATAAAAATCCATCCACATGATGTTCAAATCATTGTAGAAAGTTAAAATTGACAGGATTTTATTCTCGTGTATTTTCTTTTTACTTTATTTAATCTTTGTCAGTCAATCAAAAACAAAAAAAAAAAATTTTTTTCTCCTAAAATAAAGTTGTAAAATAAAAGACAGAATATTTGAGTTGAGTTTTATAACATGTAGACATACCAATTTACTATATAATATTAAAGTATCCCTGGTACAATACTACACAACCATCATGTATATAACTTTTTAAGTATGTATGTATGTATTCATGTATACATTTTCATATGTACACATTCATCCTCTAACATTTTGCAATTGCGGTATTTCATATACACATAATATTTTCGGGTAAAATAAAATTTTTTTGCTGCTTTTCTAAAAATCATTGAAAATTGGAAAAGGGGCCAAGAGAACTTTATAAATACAAAATCATACAGAAAACATTATTTTTTTTCCTTCCGTTTATTGTCATACCGTTCCGCCGTTCGTGACGAGCTAATCTTGTAATTTTCATTTTTTCTTTTTTTTATATATTTTTGTCATTGTTATTTTTACCAAATTTCTATTTAATATTTTAAGTTTTCTCTCTCTTTTTATATATAGTAGAGATGTTTTCATAATAATAGCAAGATCTAATAGAATTACATTAGCCGAAAAGAGAAAGATGTATAATAAATTGAAATTGTTAATAACACTATTGTATCGTACAGAAATGGCACCCGCTTTATTCATATTTATTCATTCATTCTCAATACATTGCATTGGAGTACTAGATGTGGGAAAGAAAGAGATAATAATATATGATATTCAAAATAAAAAGAAAGAACAAAAACTTATAATGATGAAGAATAACACATACCCGTATTTTAATTTAATATTATTGTTGTAATACCGAACCGAAATCTTATGTTGTATGAATGTATGAAAGGATTGGCAATATATCCATCTATTTCTTACACAAAAATCCGGGCGGAGCATAATGTACTGCTTTCTCATAGCATTTTATTAGCTATTTTATTTAGGAACAGAAAAAAAGAAACACCAATTCAAAAACAAATTCATCCATTACAATTAGTTTAAGAGTGAAAGCGTGTAAGGTAAGAAGGTCCGCGGATGGCGGTTTTTCAACAAAACAATTTTTAGTGGATATTTTTGTGTTGCATTTTGTATACATTGTGATAAAAAAATTATACGGAATTTTGTCGGAGTATATTTGGAGGCAAAAAAATAAAAATTATATATAGAATAATTAAAAAAATATTTTCAATTCAAATTTTTAAAAGTTCCTACTAAAAAAATTAAAAAGAAATAATAAATTAAAGTCAAACGAATTGAATTATTGGTGATTATTTTAAAATTTTTGAAAAATTTGTGTTTTTTGTTTAAATTTTTGTTTCAATATTAATATTGTGCATAAAATTATCACAAGTCAAAACCAATGGTTGCCGTTAACGATATGCTTAGTGTTGAAATGTATCAAAACACTTATCACGGTGTAACAAATAGTTCTGATAGATATAAATACTATCAACCACCATCGAGTCACCATCATTTTCATCATCACTATAACTTAGGATTAAATCCTCCACATCATCCGCATCATCATTCGCATCATCATCACCATCATCCTAATACAACTCCACCAATAGCAATTGGAGCAACCATACCTAATCAACATCATCTTCATCAGCAACAGCAGCAGCATCAACAACAACATCAACAGCAATCGCAACAATTGCATCATAGATTAATAAGTAAAAATGAAATTGATTCTTATCAAATGTATTCAGCAAATCAATCACCATCAAATTTACCACCACCGCCACAGCTCCATCATCATCATCATCATCAGCAACAGCAGCAACAACATGAGCAACAACAACATCATAATTTAAATGAACCTAGTCATTATACAACAAATGATTGCCTAAATAATCAAATGGGTTTATCATCAATTGTAGCAGCAACACCAACATCTCCCGGTACATTAAACCCTTTGTTTCCGCATTCGAATATGCATAACTCATCACCGACTCCATCCTCAACTTCATCATCAATTATTGAATGTACTAGTAAACTGAATACAAATCATCAAACAATGGCAGCGGCGGCGGCGGCTGCTGCTGCAGCAGCTGTTGCATATCCATCTATAGTTCATTATTATGATGATGATAATTTACATTTATATTATGGATCAACTATGACAACAGCACAATCTTCATCATCAACAACAACAGCAACACCTCCAATTAGTTTAGAACAACAGCAACAACACCAACAACAAATAAATGCTCAAAATACACTTAATAGTATTAATGAACCAGAGATAATTAATTTAGAAAATGGATTAAGTTATACAAATTTAGATTGTAATTATAGTCAAGCATATAATATAAGTAATCATGACAATCCATATTATGATGGACCTGAAGATATTAAACATTCATTACATTTGTCACATATTGGGCAAATCGACTATATGACACGTAAGCGCTTTCATTTCAATTACTTACTTATTGATTAAATTAATATGAAAATATACAAGTTAATATTTTTGATAAATATGAAATACACAACATACATGCAATTTCAGATGAAACTTCAACAAATCATTTAGAATTGTCAAAAACTTCACAAAACCAAAAGCAGTTATCAGATAATATTGATTGTTTGGATTTACCAAATATTAGCATGAATAGTAAATCGTCGGATAATCAAAATCTTAGTAATAATAATCAACAAAGTATATTAACATATAAATGGATGCAACTAAAACGTAATGTGCCAAAACCTCAAAGTAAGTGTGAAACTCATTCAAATACAATTCTATATTTTATAGCTCTATTTCTCAAATAGGATTTATATGAGATTTGAACTGCACAAATAACATATGTTTAAACTAATATTTTTGAACTGCACATACTAAAGAATACGTACCAAATTTTTGCTTAACACTCATAAAAAGTTAATAAAAATTTAGATCCGAGAATCCTTATGAGTAAACCAGCTTCTATATAAACCGTTTCATTTACAAATATTCCATAAGTTTCGAGCTGGTGTACCTATACCAACATCTTTCTTCGTACTTAAATATTATTTCAATACTCGAACAAAATATTTTATTCTTCAAAGTATTAAAATTAGTTAATCCATATTTCGTGCGTTCATTCAAAGTCATTACAATTTGAATTTATTCTCTTTGAAATTGAAAATTTTCTAGTACGTTATGTCCAGATACTAATTTTTCAAAAATTGTCGACAGCTCGTTAAGTGCTAGACGAAAATAATTTTTTTTTTTAAATTTTTGTACTTTGTAAAATTTGTAAAAGTCATTCTAATAAATCTAATCTTTGTAAACGGAATTTTGAGTATACGAACTTTGTTGAAAAGGCTTTAATACTCGCGCCATTGTTATCCAAAAATTTTAAAATTTAAAAATAACCTTTTGACGTAAACGCTTCCAATGCGTACAAAAATATGAAATAATAAACAATAGCATACACTCACTCGTTATCCCACAAAACGCGATCTAAGATTAGATAAGGTAATGCCTTTTATGTCGGCATGTTCTTCTGCATAAAGGTATACTGTCTAAGTATTTAAGTTAAATAGCTTTGATAAAAATAACATCCGAATAACAATTTTCTATAAGTAGAATATTTTTATTAATTAATTTAGAAATTACTTAATTAGTACTTAATACTTAATTAAAACAATAGGTGCTTAATATATGTACATAAGTACTCAGAAAAATTGTCATCAAAACAATTTTTTAAAATAACTATTTGAAATGTTGTAGTTGAACTAAAGAAATGAGGACTTAATTCTACGATATTATTCTTTCGTGATAATTTTTCTAAATTGATTAAACAGGGGTTGAGTTCTGGAAACTCTTAATATTTTACCAAGTAATCCAATATGCTTCAATATAATACTCGTAGTATTACAACATAAAAATTAATTAGTCAGGTTCTTAACGTAAACAGTCTGCCGCTCATCTATGCTCCGAATAATCAATAATATTATTCTATGTTAAAAATTATACACTCATTTGAATATAGAAAACAAAAAAAAAACAATAGGAGGGTTTTTTGAATAAAGTTCAAATATTGCTTAACGGAGTTCTGCAAAATATTGAGCTAAATGGTGCCGTAACCTTTGGCTGACTAAACGAATATGTTATATGCATTACAAATATGCTATATTCGTTTGCAATTGTTTCGCCACATTCCATTTCTTTCGTTTTGTAGTTTTTTTCTATTTTAATACAATAAATTATATTTTTAAGAATTTAGAATTGAATTGGGGCCCGAAGATGCAACTTCATCAACGTGCTTTAAGATCCTGGTTTTTCACTGTTTGCTCATTAATTCAAAGCATAATTTTTTACATTATTTTAAGAGAGTATATTTTGCGACGGAAACGCATCTTCAACCCTTTTAAAGGGACATTTGTATGTGCATTCGTTATTAAATTTAATTTATTATTTTTTTGTTCCTGCTTTACTCCCTTTAGGAGTATGGGGCTTTCGCAAAGTTTCTTCAATAAACTATGTTGGGCGCAATTCGTTTTACTTCTGCCCATGGCAAATTAGCCGTGATGATTTTTTTCTTTATTTTTCTTTTCCATGTATTCTTCGGTCGTGCAGTGCTACTTCTCCCTTGCGGGTTCTACTACAATATCTTGCAATTGTTTTGAGTGAGCCCAGAGATCTGTGTTACTTATTCGCTTTATCCAGAATATTCGACAAATGATTCTTAGGTTTCTATTTATTAACATCTGTATTTGTTTGTGTATTCATCCTTCGCTACACTTGTTTTCGAGCCATACAACAGGACTAATTCCACTCACGTTAAATATTCTTAATTTTGTATTTCTAAATAAGTGTAAAGATTTCCAAATAAGCCAAAATCTACCAAATGCCGCCTTAGCCAGCTTCAATCTATATTCTATGTTTCCGGGACAATAAGATTGTTCAAGATCTTGTAAAAAAGGGAATCCCCCTTGGTTTGTTGGGTTGATATGGCTTTTCTTGTGCTAATTTTCTAATCGATTTCTACCGCTCTTATGTGTTTTGCTTGCATGTCTGAATGCGTGGGGACTAGTAGAGTGATGTCGTCTACGTATTCCAAATTCTTCAGACGGCTTGTTAAGGTCCGTTGTATGCCCCTAAGGAGTAACTGTTGACTTCCGCATTATTTTATCTAGGGTTATGTTAAAAAGTAGTGAAGAGAGTGGGCATACCTACTTTACACCAATCCTGCCGCATCTCGGCTAACGCAACTTACTATTATAAAGGATTCTCACTTCGGCATCTTTATATAATGCTTGTATGGGGTTCGTTAGTTTTCTTGGTATTCCTCTATAATATTTTTGTTCTCCATATGGCTTCGGATTTTACTATATCGAAGTCTCTTTCAAAGTCAACAAATGCTATGTACAGTGGGGCAGTCAATTTCTATTCAATCGACAGCTCCACAATTTGGTCTCAGAGTGTTCGATTAATCTATGCGTCCTCTTTGCTTTCTGAATCCGGATTGTGATTCTCCCAAAGTTTCTTCTGCTTTCATTACTGGACAGGGTTGTGAGTGCCAGCACTCTATTGAGTGAGTTCAATATGTTTATACATCTCCATTTGGAGAGGTATAAGCATTCCCTGAAGTCCCTCCTCTTTAGAATCTTAAGAATTATGCCTTGTTTCTAGTATTTTGGAATTCTTTCACTCTTTCTTGTTTGTTTTAGTATGGGCCGCAGAATTCCTGCCATACTATAAGTACTTATGTCGGTTTGTACTAATTCTAGAAGAAATTTTATGATCACTAAAAATTAACAAAAATAAATTTATCAAAATTATTGAATACTCGTATTATTGAAAAAATATGCAAACACCCCGTTATTCACTTATCAAATGAGATATTTTATTTGTTAACTTATTTGTATTCAACACTTGAACAAAAATAGAGTAGATTTTTCAACAAGTTCAAGACTAAAATATGCTAGGTATAGTGTAAAAATAGATTCAACTTGTTAACATGCAACATTTCTCACTGTAAATTTTTAAAATTTCTTTTTTTTTAATGCAAAATAAGAAAAAATTATTATCTGTTACTAAAATAAAAGTGAATAAATTAATAAAAATTTAAATAAAACTTCAACAAAACAAAAAAGATAAGAGTGGCTTACATAAAAATTTTAATCTTTTTTACATCGATAAGTTTATGTTATTCTTTTAAGATACTGCAAGTAAAGAAAATGTAAGAATATGTAAACTTATTTCATATTATTATACGTATTATAGATATAGGTCACGAATCATACTCAAGATTTTAAAATATTTTGCTTTGTAATGGTTCTACATTTTAGTTTTAAATGCTGTAAAAAGCAAAATTTTTAAAGAACTTAATTCAAAACAAATTGTTTGTGGTGGCTAGAAAGAATTACCGTTGGTAATCCTATAAGAATTACTTTTGCATTTGTTTTCGCCCTAGGTTAGTTTTGGAGTATTGATTATAGCTGTATGGTACGGCCCGTTTTTCAACAACTCATAAATAAATATTAAATGAAATGAAATAAATTTGATTGCTATTCAATCGGCAGCTTGAGTTCTGCGACAAACTATTCAAATTCAAATTGAGTTTTATGAAACGCATTTCTTACTTGAAACATTAAGGTTTTTACACTTCAACTTATTATATTAACTCTTTTTTCTTGTTTTCTAAATTTTTAGAAAATTCAACACGTAATTACACACATTAATTCAACACCTTAAGAAATATTTTCATATGTATGTATATATTTGTATGTAGTATATAATATATGTATATACATATATGTACATATGTAGCAAATATTATTAAATGTACGATTGCCTTATACGCAAAATTCCCTCGGTTTTATCTCTACTTCTTTTAAAGTTAATATTAATGCATAATTCTATTTTATATTTAAGTTTTTCAGTTTCACTGTTATACAAAATAAAAGATATTTGTGTGAACAAATTTTATTTTTCCTTTTTAATTTTGCATAATTTTTAATTTCTTTTTTATTTTTATTCCTCCATTGTTAATTTTTTTTTTTTTCACGGATGCTCGAATTTGTGACAAATTACAATAAAAATTCATATGATTTATGTAAATTTTAAATTTTATTTAACTTCTTAACTTAAATTTTTCAATATTTTTAACATTTGTTTATATATACATACTATTAAAGTGAATTTTCAACGAATTTTTAAAAGAAAATTTGACCTTCTATTGCGTGAAATTGAAATCTTCACAAATTTTTAAAACAACATTCAATGTAGTTGCGCGCAGTTGTCCTATAATATAGAATTTGTCCATTTGCAACCTTTTTGCTTTTACATATAATACACACATAAGCACACATATTGTGTCATACTTAGCTTTGAATATAAATTACTAAACTGTTGTTTTAAATTTATTTAGACGTATTTAATAGTAATTTATTATATACATATAAGTATATATTATATGTGTGTATAACACATAAAAGGCAATGACAAAGAAATTAATATTATCGAATCTATACCACCATAGTAGTAAAAAAACTGTGAAACTATTAGAAATTATCTAAATATTGAAAATGTATACAAGTATACAACATAGTAGTATGTACATAAAATATATTTATGTACATATATATATATATAATATATATATGTATAACAATTTTCATTTACAAGTTAGTTTAGATTATTCTAAAAAATGTCAAATGATGTCTAATTTTAAAATAAACTGACAGACAACAGGATCCTCAGTAAAATTGCTAATAAAATTA